TGTCATCATCAGGTACGTTGTACATTTGCTGTTATGTTAAACTTATATTAAAGTTTTTCTTCATTACCCATTCAAGCCGTCTCCAGCCATTATAAGAGTATTTATTTCCTGAAAGAGAGAAATACTTTTTATTTTTAAAAACCTATTGGATATTATTTTTTATGTGCTTGTAAGCAGTGTTTTTTCTTTCAAAATTTCGATTTGCTTTTAAGAACAGTAGCAGAAAATCTGGAAGGATTAATTTTTTTTCTTTTATGGAATAATTTATTAAGCGTTGCTAAATTGTGAAATTTTTGACTGTTTGACGTTACAACTGTTATATCATTGTACATATTTCTTTAGTTTTTGAACATGCAATTGTTCAAATAGATGTACAGTCCAAGTGAAAATAATACTTGTAATGCATGAATTATATTAGCCTTTTATGTACAAGTAAAATCAAAATTTGGTTAACATAAATCTGACAGAGTTTTGAAATGTTTTTGTTAACTTGTTCAGAATATAAGTATTATTGTGATAAATGTTAAAATATTCTAGCATGATATTTTTGTAAAATGCATTTTATCTTTTCTGTAATGATTGTTTTTAGACATCTTAAAGATTTCGGTTAACATAAATCTGACAGAGTTTTGAAATGTTTTTGTTAACTTGTTCAGAATATAAGTATTATTGTGATAAATGTTAAAATATTCTAGCATGATATTTTTGTAAAATGCATTTTATCTTTTCTGTAATGATTGTTTTTAGACATCTTAAAGATTTCTTCAGAAAATTATACCAAAATAGAGAAAAAGGAAAAATCCAATGAAGAGGAGGTGGAGGATGATGATGTTGTCATGGTGAGTGATGAGGATGATAACAGCACTTTAGATGAGGATCACAGTGGGACTCACACTAACGATACTTTGAACCAACCAAATGAAGATGGGTTAGTTCTAGTGAATATTGGCCATCCACCAGAAGAACCAGATATTTTTTTGGCTCCTCAACTTAGCAGAGCAGTTAAACCACATCAGGTAAAATGTCTTAGATTTCCTGTAAAGAGATTGCTGTAGTTTTTGTTACTTCTGTTTTATTGACAATGCACTATTAACCCTTTCACAGTGGCTGGAATACATCTTTTGCAGTGCTCACACTGCGACTGGGATAAATGTTTCCCATTGTCATTTAAAATTGCCACTCATGACGTATGGGAGTAAAATGAGTTGGAAAATATTTATTGGCATCCCACCTAATGTTAATATATGGTTTCTCTCAATGTTTTCCATCCAAACCTTCAGTAACCAACAAGATGTCTAAGCAGAATGTACAACAACTGTGTGCTGACTGTGCCCGCATTGCTAGAGCAGTGAGTAGTAACCCTAATTACAATGTAAATATGCTTGATACACTTGACTCAAATAGCTTAGGAGATAGTGAAAGTGAGTCAAGTGGTGTTCAAATGCATCATGATGAATATGTTTCCCATTGGTGACACTGTTTATGCCTTCCTTTGCTGGGTCCAGGTTCATCATCTTGACTATCATCTCAAGATGAAGATCTAACATCCTCTTGTGCCCACTGGGAAGTATACATCCCACCCGCATTGAATGGGTTAACCATTTCTAATTAAGAAAAATAAATTATATTAATGAAACAAATTTTTTTAGTAAACTACTGAGTATTCCTGAATGGTTAACAAGGTGAGTCTAGAAATGTTTTATTCATGAATGAATAATGTAAATAATTAATGTATAATTTATTTATAGATTATCCTCATCATAAATTTTATTTTAATAGTAAGATTGTTAATGATTATTTTTTGTCTTAGTTTTCAATTTTAGGAGTTTATTGATCTTTATTGTGTTATCTTGTAATTTTATAATTTAAACATCACTGTATATATATATATATATATATATATA